TGATGGTACTGATGATGATGGTGATGATGATGCTGATGAGGGTGGTGAGGATAATGTTGACGACAAAGATAATGCTGCTGCTGATGTTGGTAGCGGTGCTTATTACGACATTGATGATGACGATATTGATGATGAATTAGATTACGATGCTGAGGATGATGATATTGACGCTACATCTGGATATCATGGCTATGATGATAATAATAATGATGCTGCGGATAATGCTGATGCTGATGATGAGGTTGATGATGATGATGAAGTTTATGAGGTTGGTGATGATGGTGATGGTGGTGATGGTGGTGGTGGCGGTGATGATGCTGCTGATGATGATGACGATGCTGATGAGGATGAGGATGATGACGAGGATGAGGATGAGGATGATGATGATGACGATGGCGCTGGTGATGATGATGACGATGAGGATGATGATGAGGATGATGATGATGATGACGATGATGATGATGGTGGTGGTGGTGATGGTGTTGATGATGATGCTGATGATGATGATGATGATGATGATGATGATGATGATGATGATGATGATGATGATGACGATGGCTGCTATTCTTAGTGTTATTTCTACGATGCTGGAGCTGACGAGGATGAGGGTGACGATGAGGCGAGGGTTGATGAGGAGAATGACGAGTTGAGACAGCCCCGCCGCTTTGCCGAACGGCAAGACATGATTAGGAGGAGGATGAGGAGGATCTCGAGCAGGATGACAAGGAGGGGGAGAGTGCTGGGCTGGTACTTTCCCGGCAGACAAAGTTCCCGATCCACAGGAGGGAGAGGAGGTGGTGGAGAAGGAGGAGGAGGAAGAGGAGGAGGAGGAGGAGGAGGAGGAGAGGAAGACGAGGAGCAGAGAGATGAGGAGGATGAGGGAGAGGATGAGGATGATAATGAGGATGAGGCTACGGCGGAGGAAGAGGAGGAGGAGGAGGAGGAGGAGGCGGATAAAGATTGGGAGGAGCGTAAGGATAAGGAGGAGGAGGACGGGGGAGAAAGGAGGAGGAGAGGAGGAGGTGGAGGAGGAGGAGGAGGAGGAGTAGGCGGAAGAGGAGGAGGAGGGAGAGGGAGGGAGGGAGGCAGGGAGATAGGGCGGGGGGAGGGAAGGAGGGAGGAGGAGGAGGAGGAGGAGGAGGAGGAGGAGGAGGAGGAGGAAGAACGAGAGGAGGAGGAGGGAGGGGGAGGAGGAGGAGGAGGAGGAGGAGAGGAGGATGGTGGGGGATGGCGGGGGAATGGGAAGAGGTTTGAGGCGTGCAGGAGATCCCCCGGCCGCCGAGGCTCCAACGGCGCGGCCGACTCGGGCGGTCGCCCTGGGCCGACGCGGGCGGCGGCGGCCAGCGAGATGGGGCCAGGCCGGCACCTCCTCCTCCCTCCATCATCCTCCTCCTCCTGCATATCAGCTCCTGGCGTGTCCGGCTCAGCCTCCTACCTGCATCACTCCTCCTCGCGGCCCCCTGAGGGAGCTCCGCCGAAGGCCCCAGGATGGCACGGCGCGCGGGCGGCCCCCGCCCCCCGGCGTTGCGTCGGGCCCGTCCCTCGGCGGGAGGAACCTCCAAGCATAGCAGAGCACATTTGAGGGGCAGGGGAGGGCCCCCCTCCGCCTCCCGACGTTGCGTCGGGCCCGTCCCTCGACAGGAGGAATCTCCAAGCATAGTAAAGCACATTTTGGGGCAGGGGAGGGCCCCCCTCCGCCTCCCGGCGTTGCGTCGGGCCCGTCCCTCGACAGGAGAAATATCCAAAGCATAGCAGAGCCCATTTTGGGGGGCAGGGGAGGGCCCCTCCGACTCCACCGCGTTGCGTCGGGCCCGTCCCTCGACAGGAAGGAAATTCAAGAATCTCCAAGCATAGTTAAAACAACATTTTGGGGCAGGGGAGGGCCCCCTCCGCATCCCGCGTTGCGTCGGGACCGTCCCTCGACAGGAGGAATCTCCAAGCATAGTAAAGCACATTTTGGGGCAGGGGAGGGCCCCCCTCCGCCTCCCGGCGTTGCGTCGGGCCCGTCCCTCGACAGGAGGAATCTCCAAGCATAGGAAAGCACATTTTGGGGCAGGGGAGGGCCCCCCTCAGCCCTCCCGGAGTTGCGTCGGGCCCGTCCCTCGCAGGAGAATCTCCAAGCCTAGCAGAGGCCCATTTTGGGGGCAGGGAGGGCCCCCTCGCCTCCCGGCGTTGAGTCGGGCCCGCCCTCGGACAGGAGGGAAATATCCAAGCATAGAAAGCACATTTTGGGGCATTTTTTTTTTTTTTCTTTTTGGGGCAGGGGAGGGCCCCCCTCCGCCTCCCGGCGTTGCGTCGGGCCCGTCCCTCGACAGGAGGAATCTCCAAGCATAGTAAAGCACATTTTGGGGCAGGGGAGGGCCCCCCTCCGCCTCCCGGCGTTGCGTCGGGCCCGTCCCTCGACAGGAGGAATCTCCAAGCATAGTAAAGCACATTTTGGGGCAGGGGAGGGCCCCCCTCCGCCTCCCGGCGTTGCGTCGGGCCCGTCCCTCGACAGGAGGAATCTCCAAGCATAGTAAAGCACATTTTGGGGCAGGGGAGGGCCCCCCTCCGCCTCCCGGCGTTGCGTCGGGCCCGTCCCTCGACAGGAGGAATCTCCAAGCATAGTAAAGCACATTTTGGGGCAGGGGAGGGCCCCCCTCCGCCTCCCGGCGTTGCGTCGGGCCCGTCCCTCGACAGGAGGAATCTCCAAGCATAGTAAAGCACATTTTGGGGCAGGGGAGGGCCCCCCTCCGCCTCCCGGCGTTGCGTCGGGCCCGTCCCTCGACAGGAGGAATCTCCAAGCATAGTAAAGCACATTTTGGGGCAGGGGAGGGCCCCCCTCCGCCTCCCGGCGTTGCGTCGGGCCCGTCCCTCGACAGGAGGAATCTCCAAGCATAGTAAAGCACATTTTGGGGCAGGGGAGGGCCCCCCTCCGCCTCCCGGCGTTGCGTCGGGCCCGTCCCTCGACAGGAGGAATCTCCAAGCATAGCAGAGCCATTTTGGGGGGCAGGGGAGGGCCCCCCTCCGCCTCCGGCGTTGCGTCGGGCCCGTCCCTCGACAGGAGGAATCTCCAAGCATAGCAGAGCCCATTTTGGGGGGCAGGGGAGGGCCCCCCTCCGCCTCCCGGCGTTGCGTCGGGCCCGTCCCTCGACAGGAGGAATCTCCAAGCATAGTAAAGCACATTTTGGGGCAGGGGAGGGCCCCCCTCCGCCTCCCGGCGTTGCGTCGGGCCCGTCCCTCGACAGGAGGAATATCCAAGCATAGCAGAGCATATTTTTGGGACGACTTGTCGGATTCCTTTTGACCGTTTTAGGGGGGCATTCTTGGGGTCTTTTTGTATGTATGTATATATATATATATATACATATTTGCCCAAGATCCCCCTCTAGGGGGACGTGCCCGACGCAGTCCCGGCGTCATCTTCCCACTCTCTCGGCCTCCGTCCTTCGTCCTCCCTCCTCTCTCATCGCGCGTACTCAGACAGGCCAGACTGGCGAGGCCGCGGCCTCACCCACCTGGTCTGAGCCAGGCCCGGGCACTGCCTGCAACGGTGGTCGCGTCGCATCGTATCGCATCGTGTCGCATCGCAGCCTCCTCTCTCCTCCTCTTCCTTCTCCTCATCATTTCTCCCCATGCCTTCTTCCTCTTTGTCCCTCCTTCGTGTATCCTTCCTTTCCTCCTTCCCTCACTCCTCTCTCCTTCTTCTCTCATTTCTCCTCCTTCATCTCCTCTCCGTATTCCCTTCTTTCCTGTCCTCATTTCCCCTCCTTCTCCTCTCTTGTTCGTCTCCCCCTCCCCCTCTCTCCCTGCCCTCTTCATCGTTCGAGCGACGGCATGCGCATGAGCCAGACACACGTGCCACCGAGCCTCTTTCTG